CAATCAAACACCCTAGTTGCGGGTGGTGAGCAAGAGAAGTGTGTGCCTTAAGCCCCGCCCCTAGAGAGCGGGGGTGACCGCGGGTTCTGGCCTATGCCAGAACAGCCTCATGAGCCTATTTTGAGCATATATTCAGAATTCCGTTTTTGCTTGATTGAAACTCAATCTAACTCGGCCGGTGAGTGGCAAAAATATTTCTTGTGGTGCCTTTTTAGTGTTCCTAAATTGAGAGGGAGCCCCGTCAATGCTAAATGTCAAACCTAAAAAGGTTTTGCAAGCGTTTAGGCTGCATTGCATGGAGAAGCTAAACGACCGCATCTGTCAAGGAGTCGAACCTTAATGTCATGCCTACCAATCCGCCGCTCTATCAGCTGCATCCCTTTCACAATTACGACTTATTTCGGCGCGGTGACCCGTTCGCTATAACATCGGTTCAGTGACTTCGTTCCCAGAATCGTTTAGCTGATTTGGAACATAAATTTGAGATCAGGGTTCGAAACCACCTTAGGGGGTAAACATCTGATCTTGAATGGCCACTGCGACCAAGTATCATTCCTTTGTGAGATCCAATGATGGAAGCTACGAAGATCAAGTACGACGTCATCGGACTGACCGAGACGAGAAGACACCGTCCGTTGCACGCCAATTTTGGGAGTGGAGGAGAACTCTTCTTTGGAGCATGCGACAACAGACGCCTCGTTGTAGGTGTCAATGTCAATACGTACTAACATCGATTCGTACGAAAGTTTCACAGCCCGAATCAGACATTTGGAGAAAATGCGGCTCAACCTCAGCTCTTACATTTTCGGTGTCAACACCAAGCCAGGAAGAAGAGGAGCTCGAAGCGTTCTCTATGGATCTGAAGAGGCTCTCTTTCTTCAAGGTCATCGTTGGTGAATTCAACGCCAAGATTGGCTCCAGATGAACGGTCGCAAAGCTCCTTATCATGACTGACGGAATGGAATGGAATGAGCAGGGTGAAAGGCTGTCCGAGTTTGTCATGTCGACCCAAACCATCCATGGTATCTCGCTGTTTCAGAGGCCGTCTCATCTGCGATGGACCTTGGGGTCATCAGGTGGATCAACTGGTACACAGTTTCGTAATGAAATAAATCACATCGTCTTCATTCGAAAGCTTTGAAACATAAACTAAGACACTGTCTTTGTTGTTCCGATGTTCTACACAGGACCGTTTCCTTCGCGCTCGATTCTGCTTTCCAGTGCGTGGAGAGAGAGCTGCGAAGTTCACGAAACGAAGCTCCAAGATTGTTGTCATCTGGGATCACATCACTTCACTAGCGAGTTCGTGGGAGGATTCCATCAGCGGCAACATCGATGAACAATACAACTGTCTCGTCGAATATGTTCACGATAGTGCCAAGAAAGCAGAGAGTCCCAAGGTGCCGAGAAACGTCGCTCTTCGAAGACTCGAACTGATACGCCACCATGGAGCTGTAATCGCGCGGGCTGCACGCAATAACAAGTTAACGTCCGAACTTGCGAAGCTATGCAGAGAAGCGATAAAGGAATATTCGAGCAGGTGAGCAGCAGTTTTTTGCTGAAGCCGCCGAGGTTCGGAGAAGCATTCGCCAAGCCCGCCGGAGCTACGTCAATTATAAGACAAGATGACTCCCCTCCGTCGTCCTGACGGAAAAATCACGTCTACCTGCCTGCCTACCATCTTATGCAAGACGGATTAATCGTCTCTTCAGTTCTTTCACCCCAAATTCGACAAGCCATCAAGTCGATGAATGAGAGTATTCAAGAATAGTGAGTGAATAGTAAGCAGTGAAAAAGACAAAAAACCTCCAACTCCGCGCTCACCTTTCCGAAACTGCGATCCTCCTGCTGTGATACACGCTTCAGAGAATTGGACTCTACGAAAGCAGTATAAGCACGCAGTAAACGTCGTCCGACGCGCTGTGAAAAGGACGATGTTCGCAATTTCAATGTCCACGCAAGTGCAAAAGGGAATTCGCAGTTCCGAGCTCTGTCAACGGACAAAGATCAGGGATGACGTTGTTCACGTCAAGAAATAAAAGATCATCTGGGCAGTACGCGTAATGCGATATTGTGGTGACCGTTAGACCAGGGGGGTTACTGACTGTGACAAACTGTGACTGTGGACGTCAAACGAACGCTAAGACGGTCGCCAACGCGATGGTCGCTTTTTTCACGGAAGCTCCGAGCGAAAGGGATATTTTGTCCGTGTTTCTCGAGCAAGTACGACTAATTCGACTACGCTGGTTTGCGATAGGGACGAATGAAAACGTTACTGGCGCCCGCTCAAGGAAGTCGATGATCAACGGAACGACAGGTGTTAAAGGTGAACTATCATTTTCATTATCCTGAGATCCTGAGCTAACTATATATTTTTCTCCACATTAATGCTAAGGGAGAGGGGTGGTGGTTGATGAGGCGGATCTCGGCAGACACAGAACAAACCTCAACATATGGTTACGCTTACACTTATGGTTTTAACTAAAAAATGGCGAATCGGCTCGTTGCTTCCATCCACCTTGGGGAAGGCGGGAGTCTGCTTCTTGCGAGTTTTTCGACTGCAATAGGAAAAGTAGAGAATGAAGAAAGGGCAAAGTATGACGTAGCGAAATCCCAAATTCTGTGTAGGCATGCATAGTACGACGATGCCAGTGTAAAACGAAATCACAGTGTTGTAGTATCCACTTCGCTCCACCTTATCCATTCGACCTCTAGTACTCACTTCACTCCATCAGTCGATATACCAACCAACTGACACACCAAATTTCTAGTCGACAATAGCATGGCTTGCAGGTTCATAGGCTACTATACGGAATCTCTCCCCTTACACTCTATATACATGTCATACAGATCTACGACAAAAGTTAAGATGTTCTAGAGCAATTGACGCACAATCTCTACGAAAAGTCGAAACCAATGCCTGCACTGCATTCAGTCTTCGCTTTATACCAGTCGGATCACCCGGCATGGGACGTATACTCACACGTGTTTTACGATGCTGAACATTACAGATCTGCGAAGCGACCCGAGTCACATGAGCATTTCCTCTACGTGATATAGGGCTTGTCAAGCATGTATCGAGGTAGAGTTGCTGGGTGATGCTATGAACAACGGACAAAGAGATGGTTTGCATTCCGTGTGCGTGAACTCGGGACGAGAATGGTTTTTATCCTTTATCCTTTGCAGTATGCTGCTCTTACGCTGAACCGATGACATGACTCGCGAACGAGGAGGCGTAATTATTAATGGATGCTCTATGAACATATGTACATGACGTCAAGATCCAGAGTGTTCAAAGCAGTACTCTTTTCCACAGTGAATACAGTAAGTAAGGGAAGCTTGTCCCACCTGTCCTTAAAACTGCTTCCCTCAAGATAAAATGAAGAGCAGCATTGCCAAGGTGTTGAAGTGAGACAAATCGATAATTTACAATCTCTCACGATTGATCTTGAATTCCGCCAATGATATTAATGGAGGACGATTGGCTTCCCTGAAATGAAAAAGTGCAAATTTTCTCGTCCATTGAAAGGTGAAAAGTGATTGCCGTTCACCTGATCCAAGGAGCAGTACTCATGGCGAATCATGAAACTTGGACTCTGGATAGGATACCTGAATCAGAGGGCTTCACAACGGCCTACATAAAGCCCATTCCCTTGGAAGTGGTGACACCGTACTTGTCATGGAAGGCTCTGCTTTCGCGACAGTACAAAGTACCAAGACGAAGGAGATGACTGACAGAGAAGACCCGTTTTGAGCGAGTATTTTCAACGTTAACAAATTTAACAACCACACTGCACTGGAAGATCTTAAGGCCGTGAAGGGCAATACAACATTTTTTAGCAAGGACGGTTTCCGATGTTCTCTATAACTAGGAAGGGCTGCAGTTAATCAACGAAACAGTTTCGCAAGAATTGTACATAACATGTTTCCCAGAAACACAAAGCGAGTTTACGCACACGGGATGCAAGACATTACGTCAGACTAGACCCTTGCTTTGCCTGTTGCGCTACTGCTACACACAGCTTAGCGACTCGAGCTTGATACATGTTTGGCAAAACAGAAACTTTTGATTTCTAGCGAAATACACTTACTGACACGCTCCGTGTGCGCGCTACACGGAATGAGCGAAGTCCTACATCAGTTCTGTGTAATCTGATACACGGTTCATTGCTTCTTATTCCAACTTGACTGCATGTTTTCACTCGAATTGCGTTCAGTTCACTCATGGTCCGTCCCTACATGCCCTTACGGCTCTGCGAGCTGTACCCATCTCAGTCACTTTCCACTACCTACCATCGATGTCTAAACTTACCGTCTGCACTTGTTCCAAAAATGAACCCCAGGCTCGAATCAGCAATTTCGCGTAAGCCCCGCATTCTGTGGACGGAGGTAAGTCATGCCACCTCCTATCAACATTCTCATACTGCCCGCTTCTAATTCTGGCGAACTTGAATGCACCAGGTGTGAACTGCCAATTTGAACTTCGTCGCCCCCTTCATGTAGCCCATCAAGACTTTCTCGAATAACCTACAAAACAATAAGGCAATACCCACATGTCGGTAATTCATAGGGCCCCACGAAAGTTTTTTTTCGAGTATAGGCGTAACGAAGGAGTGCTCTCAACGCAAAGGGACCTCATCGAATGTTGAAGACTGGTTGAAAATGTACGCGAGAGTCTCACACATAACTGAAGCTATTCTCCGTGCAAGAAAAAACGGTAGAAAATCATGCGTGACCGAGGGTGAGCCGGGCCACTTGTCAATTGAATCATCCAAAACCGAAGAATGTAAGGAGAATCTGTCATGGACTCCACAGCATGATAGAAAATCGAAAGAATGTTCCTATCATCCTCCTGGAAGATGCTTTCGAATTGATAGGCTAACATATCCGTTTTCTCTATGTGAGCATTGCTACTCTATTTTCATTATAAATACTCTTATGATGGTAGTAGACTAGCAGTTATAATTATTATTTTATTACTATCTATAAAAGGTCAGGATCCCAAAACGGATAGCTGAGTGCACGGGGAAGTTCGAATTAAATGGTTCTGATTGGGTGTTCTTTCTACTAGATTGTTCGGGAAGGAATGCGCGTGAACTTTGGTGGAAATGCCTGACCGAAAATCCCTTTTGCGAGCTTGCATGTGTTACAACTTCAAGCAGGGCAAATCGGGTGCTGAAACTCATCAACTGAGGTATTTGGCGAAGGAGCCCTGTCAGGAAGTCAGTGCAGACGATGGTTCTGGCGTTTTATTATTATAACGGTAATGAAAGGTCAGAGGACGAGGGACATGAAGGCCGGCCGTCGATAACCAAGTGTTGAAGTCCGTCATTTAATTGGATCCACGCCAATGCACTCGAGAACTGGCAACACATTTTGACTGCTGAAACTCTACCATCCATGAACATGTTCTGGCAATTGGCAAGACGAACAGGTGCGGAAAATGGGTATCGCACCGTCGCGTCACGGATCAGGTGGCGGGTATGGATCGCGAAAATGATTTTGGAAAAAAAAATGAAAAATAGGGGCTGCTGGGGAGTCCTGCTTCATCCGCTATATATCCCAGACCTGGCACCATCCGATTACCATCTGTACCGGTCGATGCAGCACTCCCAGGTCGAAAAAAAGTACAAATTCCGCGAAGAAGTCCAACTCTGGGTGTCCAACTACTTCGAGTCGCAGCCGGGCGAGTTCTTCAGGAGAGGAATCCGTTCTTTGCGTAAACGTTGGCAAGAAGTCGTTGGTAGAAATAGAGATTATCTTTTGAAGAGATCTTGTTTAGTCTCATTTTTATAGTAAAAAAAAGTTTAAGCTCGAACGCGCATTTCTTTCCGAACAATCTAATATAATCATAATTCGAAAAAAAGGAAACAGCAAGTTCTCAAAAAAATACACCACATCAATGAAGTAGCGCCTCCTTTTGATTCTAAGTGATTATAAATATTTATCTTGCAAAATCAGTAAAACCGCTCTTTTTCTAGGTTACTTGTGACAATTAATCAGACTAGAAATTAGCAACAATTACCATTTTTCAATTAGAAATGTTACCAAATGTGAATTGGCCTCGAAACCATCAACATAACCTGAAAATGCCGAAGGTCAACTCCTCGTTCCATTTCAGAGCAGAAGGGCTGCTTCAAATGTTTTTGAATACTTTCAGTAGTAGCGACAGCGACTGTATGAAATGACTACATATAGTAAGTCTATAGCGATTGCAGCAGCAACGATCGGCCTTGAGAACTCTGATGGAGGGAGAATTTCAAAATTAAACCTTTCCAGATCTCAGTGAACACCTTGTGTAGCATGACTGTAGCTTGAAGCTGAGTCGAACTAGGTCTTAGTGTGAAACAAGGATTGCAATTGCAGTTTTTGCGCTTTGTTTTTGGACAATTGTAGTGGGTATTATAGTTAACAGCTTTCGATGAATGTCCCACCTTACCGCCCTGTGTTATACATTCAACTTTTTGCCTGCAGGGCAGCGCTGTTGAAATTAACTTTACCCAATTTTCCACAGAGTTATTAATCCTTGTTTGAAGCACTGTCTTCCAGCAACCAAAGACCAGTTAATGAAAGACCACTCTGTCCAGGTGGAATATACCTTATAGCTACGAAAATTTATTTTGTTTGGAAATTGATCAGAAAAGCAAAGCACGAAGGCATCCTGATTTCGAGTGAAACATGCGAAATTGTGCGAAATTCAGGTGCTCAACGGGTTCATTGAGCGACATGATGCTAACAGCATCATACCATCGCTACCGATCGGCATTGTGCCAAGTGGATCAGGCAACGGCCTGCTTTCATCCTTATTCTACAGTCGAGGGTAAGCAGTCATCAGTTCTTGTCTTACTCAAACTTCGATGTTTCAGGGAATGTTGTACTCTTCATCTTTATCTTCATTTGGTACGTTATTTGAGACAACGTTAAAAATGTATCAATCAACAAAACAAAAACAAAAACTGGGGCAACATTGAGCAAGAGAATACTTGAAGGTGGTAACTCCGCTAGAAGGATGTGCGCTGCTGTAGAACGTTTAAATGAAGCCAGAGCAGTAGAATAGGGAAGCTCGCCTGATCCTCAAAAGCTCTCACCGTGAAGAATTTTTCGCCTAATCGTTGTCTTTGGTCTTGAAAAGAAGATTTTGAGTTGATCACCTCTAGTTTCATTCTTGAAAAGAAGGTTTTGAGTTGATGACCTCTAGTTTCATGAGCGTATCGGGAGAGGAAAAACAATACCACATCTACGGTTTAATAGCGTATGGAACATACCTGCGTAGAAAGAATGCGCCTCGACCGAAGGGTGGGTAAATCAAGGTTCTTGTTCCTTATAACTTCCTCGACGGTTTAAGAATACAAATCCCGCTACGGCGAACAAGCTTTTTCCTGGTAAATTTATTTTGAACCCTCTCAATGAGAGCAATGTCCTTCTTTTTAGCCGGGCAGTATATCACTGTTCCATTTTAAACCAGGGATCGCACATACATACATAGGTCTTATAAGGACCTTGGTATCTTTGGTTGTGAGAGCCTTGAACATGTTATAGGTGCGATAGACAGCAAAACTGCAAACGTGCTTATAATGAGAGGTGAAGTCTAGCTTATCACTATAACGGAACCTTAAGTCCTTAACTTGTTTGAACATTGCAATTTCTACGCCATTCATGAATAGGCAGTACTTATGTGCGAGGCTTCAATACGTATGTGGACAGTTTTGACTGAGGTCAGCGGAAGCTGCCATTCTAGCGACCAAAGCACAAGCTCATCAATTGATAACTGTAGAACAACTCCGGTGAACCTATCACTTTGCAATACTCAATAGCTTTTTCCCAGAACTTCATATATTTCCTCAGGATGGAAGCATGGGAATATTTGCATTTGAGTTTGGACCAAGGGAGCAGAAGCCGGGAGGTTGCCATCATCATGATTGAATGACTTACTAATATGCCTTGCAAAAGCATTATCTTCCTCACGGTCACTCAACAAAAAATTACCCTCAGATATCAGATCAGAAAATTGAGCATTAACACGAATCTTAGATTTCATAAATTTGAAAAAAAAGCTTCTCGTCTTTGGATCCAACTATTTTCTTCTCAACGCTTTTGATAAATAATTTCTTCAATTGCTCAGAGAATTTTGATGAGAAGTTTTTCAACTCTCTCCAGTCACCAGTGAGCCTAGCATAATGTAACAGACACTCTTTGTGGTCCATCATGTTTTGGAGGTAAAGGGTAAATTGGGCCTACTCGGAAAGAGGCATGCACTAGGAACATACATGTCTATTGCATGTTGAAGAACGGACAGAAACATGATATAATCTCATCCACTAACGTAGGTGACTTGAAGGACGCTAAAGAGCTAATTCGAGACCTGAGAGTGATTACATTTGGAATGCACTGCATATCAGTTGTGACAATACCAAACGTAACACTGAAATAATCACTGTCGCCAACTGGTGAGTTGATAGAAACATTGTCAATAAGTTCAGAGTTATTACAAAAAAGCAGGTCTAGATAGTTGGATCCCTTAGTTGGCTAGGATGTACTGCCCAAAGCAGTGACAGGCCAATGTTACGGAAAGCGGGAGAGAGATATCTTTGGATGTATTCCATTGAGCCCATTGAATTTTGGGGACATTGAAGTCGCCTATGACAATTAGAAGGGATGCAACTGCCGCAGGATCAGTTATAACTATGGTTAGTTGAATAGTGAGAGCAGTTGTTGTAGAAGATGACCAAAACAACTTGAACGCTGTAATCAGAAAATGCAATGTCCGCAGCCAGAATTTCGTGTCTCTTGGGGACAGATTCCGATAGAACAATTGTGTAAAACAAAGTTTTTCTGGGGAACATAGCTACTCCACCTCCGGCTCTACCGCTATTACCACAACGTATTATAGCATAGTCCTGAATCCATTCATTTAGCATAGATGCCACAAGATGATGCTTCTTGAGCCACGTTTCTGAGATCATGTACAGGTCAAACTTATGACACACGGTAAGATCTATAAGGAGGAATTCTCAGGAAAGGATATTAGATTCGAATAAAAAAAGAAGTAGTAGAAGTTGAAAAAAAAGTACGACATTCATAAACACAAGACCGTCGACTCCTCCCTAGTTTCCCTGAGAGTAGTACGAGGCGTAGGACCAGAATCAGAATTAACTAAAGTATTGCGTGACACGTTGGAGATTGCACGAAGACGTAGCTCCCCCCGACGGCGCTTCTTCCTGTTTTCGAGAGAGACTCCCGTAGATATACACCTCGCTCAGGGAAAAACCGCAATCTGGACGCTCTACGAACTGCCAAGTGTTGGAAGTACTTGGAGGAGAAACGACTTTGAGTAATCTCATTCTATCTGCAGTTGGACGTCCTAACCTACAAACGGCTGTAGGGGTACATTCAACCTCAAGGTAACAAAGAATATCAAGCACACTAGTACACTATAGTTGTGAGACAACTTTCTTATATTGAATTCTTTTAGCTCAGGTATTCCAGCGATAAAAACAGATCTTAGACATTCCGACTCGTAACAATCGATAAGGTTGGGATGGAGAGGATTGGCAGTGTGATCATCAATAACCTCAGTTTCGCTATAGTAGCATCAGGGGCAACAATATCTAACTTCTGGCGAAGAATGGGATTTACATTGCGAACTTGATCTCTCTCACGCTTGACGTCGTCCAATTCCTTGATCAGAGCACTAAAAGCCGTCTTGATGATGCAGTCGGGTACCAGCACGGAGGCGTAGACATCATTCATAACATCTTCCAGGCAAGGAGACTGCGTAGGCGGGGAGCCAGGGGAAGTCGCTGGCCAAGAACTCTTGATCCCTTTGAAACACTTTGAACTGGGGTGTTCAACATCGAGAATAAAAAGAAGATTAAAAAAGAAGAGTATATGGCAATAGACCTATTCCGGCGACCCATCACACAACTATTGATCACAGGGCCGCTCGTGATCTCCGCTCAATAAAAAATAATCAGAACTGGGCTGGATAGCAAATAGCGGTATCAGCGTAGGTGACAGAATGAATGGATATTAGCTAGCAGGCTGAATAGCTACCAGCAACTAGATTAAACTTAGTATCGGGAAACGTACGTCCGAATGTAATTAACAGAATGCCCAAGCAGTAGAAGTGATCGATGACTAGGGAGCAAATCGCATCCGACCGCTCATGGGCAGCACAGAGAGGGCAATGAAGAAGATAGTTATATCGTTCGTCAATTTCCTCATGAAAGTTATGTTAAAAGCTGCACGTTTTTCCTAGGTGATTCACAGACTCACAAAACGCCTTTCCTCCTAAACACAAGCGCAGCTATAATTTGCTTCGACTCAATGTTTTGGTAAATGCTGCTATTTTACCTTGATTTTCGCCCTGTGTACGATGAAGTGGCGCCTCCTATTGACTCCAGATGATTATAAACAATTAAGTTGCAAAAGCAGTAAGAGTTGTTTCTCTAGGTTATTCACATCACTCAATCGTTCTAGGAATATACAATAATTACCATTTTCAGTTAGACGAATCAATGCTAATATTGGATGAGTGGCTCATATGTTGTACATATGTGTGTGCTGATAACTTATGTCAGAAAACCGTTAAGAAGGCGAGGGCAAACTGCGTCTCAAATTTAGCACGGCCACGCAGAGAAAGTCATAACTCTGAGCGCAGTAGCCGCTGCGTTTTTCCTATAATTCCCTCAAATAAGGATGGTAAGGGTCAAGAAGCGTGATGGCCTTTGCTACGAAGTCAACTTCTGTGGTCCTGGCGCCGCAATATCATAAGGCACTGGCATCTTCTATAAATGATTGAAACTGCAGTCTCGCCGTTGGACGGCAACTTCATTCATTTTTTCCTGTTCATATCTTTTTTGCTTGAGAAATTGCGGTGATCTCTAAGGTTTCTAGTGAACCACTCAAAAATCCGAAGTTCACCGAACGAGCAATCGATGTCAGCTGCTCTCCTGAAGCACATGCGCAACCAGTCAATCTTATCCATGTCCAAACAGAGAAGGAGGACTTCGCATCTTTCCTTAGTGTCGGTTGGGGTCTGATGGCTGACATTGGTAAGTTTTGAGAGTTGCATCCATATGATGACATCACGTGTTGCAATGGGGTTCAATTCCTCAACCGCTTGTGTGTGACGATGAGCTTTTTAAAAAGCTGAGTATTAGTTTGTTAAGGTGTAGAATCCGTTGTTCTTTGAGCCCTTCAAGGAACGCAATGCCATGTGCTTATTGCTCAAATACCTAGAATGTAGAGAACCACCCGGTTTACTATTGAATTCGGCACCTTTTTCCTTGCAAAGGTCCCCTGATTAGTCGGGAAGAATTGATTACATAGTACTCTGACTGTGTTCTTCTCCAATTGGCATGCATCAAAGTGTATACATCCAACTCACTCAGTTGTATTTATTGTGTATACCACTCGCATTGCCTATACATTGAACCGTGTGAACCGTATCATTGTTCAGATATTGAAAGCGAGCGATGGCGAAAGTTGTTTGGATCTAACCGATTCGCTCTCGGGGCGCTCATTCGGATTCTAAGTAAGTTTTGATCGTATTCCTATTTATCTGTTCCTGCGCGAAAATCTGCTCGATAGTTGAGAGCAAGGATCCTCGTGGTCGCTTACGGGGCTCCTCGTGGTCGCTTGCCGTAAGCTTCGAACTCCATTGCTTCCGTTATCCCCAGAGCCATCCGATAAGGGAGGCAATGGAGTTGGAGCCCAATGGAAGCGACCGCGAGGAGCTCCAAAGAAGAGATGGCGGGGCGTGATCAAGAAGGACCTCGCCGAAGCCAAGATGACGGCACAAGATGCCGTACATAGAATTAAATGGAGATGGCTGACAAGAACAGCGGACCCTGCGACGGCGCGGGATTAACTCTAGGGAGAAGAAGAAGATGTTGAGAGCAAGGATCTCTGTCAAGGGGCAAAATAATGAACTGGGTTGAGGAACTGGATTATACCATGAAATCGTCTTTGCTGTGTACTGAGAGCTTCATTAGCAGGTAGTGAGCGGATCGAGCAATTCAGATGTTCAAAATGTGCAGAATTAGATCACCTGTATCGCTGTTGTGCTGTTGATCGTCAATTTTCTTCATCGGGCATCAGGAACGTCTCCATTTGTCCCTGCCACGCCGAAGTATCCAATGGACCGTTCTTGCTCACGAAAATCGAGGCATGACATTTCTTTTAGAGGCTTCATGGGAAAGTCTGACCATCGCGATGGCAGCCGTTCTGGGGTTGTTTGACAACTCGCGCCAGTGGCCGTCCTGGTTCAGTGGTACTCACAAAATCGGGTGACGTGTCCGGCTAACGTGATCATTGATTCTCAGGCGTGAGCAGCAGCTTTCCTTATCTCGGTTGGTTGACAGACTTGAGAAAACCAGATTACCCTTTGCACTTGCGTGTATTAGACGATTGGAACATCGTCTTTTCCACACGCCTCGAATGACGCTGGCTGCATGCTCATCCTACTTGCGTAGGATCTCTGTCACTGAGCATATCAAAACAGGAAGGACTTTGTTGCCGAAAGATGGGCGCGCAACCAACTGCCCTTTGATTTCTTGCCTTCTTCCTCAATGTTCCCAGGTGTTGTTTCCTAAAGCGTTGTCTATTTGGTTAGCCTTTGTTTCTTCCGCTCAATGTTCGTTGTTATAAACACGAGGTCGCGTGCAAGCGACCATGTCTAATCGGTGCTGCCGACCTCCAATCCTAGGTCATCCCATTCTTAATGACGCACGATGTTTTCGACAACGGTACTGAAAAGTTCGAGCGAATTGGTATCGCTCTAGCGAACACCTCCACGTTAACAATGAATTCCTCATAAATTGTCGTAATCCTGAATGAGAAGTTGTGGTAGAGCTCACGAGGCATCTTTTATATATAGTGAGAACACCCTGATTGCCCAAGACATCAATTATCGCTTCACAAGAGTATCGATAGCATCCTTCAAATCGGTGAACGCAAGACACAACAACGTCCTGTACTCTTGCGATACTTTATTGTGTTTTGTGACAGTGTGGATTTGCTGGAGTGTACTCGAGGAGCGGGCTAGTTTAAGGGGATGCGGCACTTCAGAATATAGTTTTTATCTTCATATGATCCCCTTGAGTAGTTTGACAGGCTCAGACGTAGACTCTGAATGAGTGGTTATTGTAAGTAGAGCTATTTCAAAGTGTACAAGTGGCTTGTTTGTTGACGATCCCGAATCGCTTTTTTAGTATTTTCCATTTGCTTATGCGTGCGTATTGAACAGAACGCCTACACTGCTGACGCCTCTGCTGTCGCGTGTCCCAAGAAACAGTTCTTTTCCAGTCTCAAATAGGGTGTGCAGCGGGCGATGCCTTCTCGTCTCGATTAGACTGATGGCGTTATTTGGATCTTCCTAGCTTGTATCATCAGATCTTTGAAACACGCTTCCGATGCAAACATTCGTGCATTGAAAGGCAGATCGCCATCATGACCTTTTCTTTTTAGGCAGCCTGTCATGGTTCTCCCCTCAGGTTTGAGGGAATGGGGCTCATTTATATTACTGTTTTTGGCATATAGGTACTCACGTGTAGCTTGCCAGGAACTGACGTTGGAGCTGGGTTGACTCTGGGTAGCTAGCTAGGCTATCTCAGAGACTTTGTTTTTGCAGGCGGCTACGAACCGCCATTCGGGTTACTTCCCAGTCCGTCGAATGCAAGCTTTCGGCAAAACCAATCATGCAGGATACCAATCTCGAATTCCCCCCCCCCCTCACACGTATGCATGAATATATTTTTTGAAGAGACGGAAGGTATAAATCGTCTCACCACAGCAGAAACAAGGAGTCCATCCCCTTGATTCCAACTGCATTTTCGGGCAAGTTGCGCTAACATATAGTAAAAATTATTCCCTAGTCGGCCAGATGGAATCACGCCTGTAGAGGAGTTCCAGTGAAGAGAGTCTGTAGAAAAATTGAGAAGTGCTGCCGAAGATCATGAAGTGCGCGATTGAAGTAGAGCAGCGGTCCTTTCGCGAGTAAATTGCTAGTTACTAAATTGGTGTGCTAGCCTTATACTTCAAATGTGACAAGGATCAAACCGAATTCATCGCTTTGAATGAAAATGTCACCTTTAGTGCAACATTTATGTAAAGTGTATTGACCTTTTGAAATGATAACATTTGTTAGCAAATTCGTGTGATTTCGAAATGTCGAAATGAATATCGTGAGTGCCATTTTTGAAGTTGAGAGAGAAGACTCATTTTGTAGTTTGGTTGTAGAAATTATTACCGTCCACATACAGTTGAAAGGAATTTGAATACATGGCCTTCTCCGAAGTTCACATTGGCTAGGATTTTAGAACACTGTTCTGTGAAAACTGATGCAATGAAAATCATATTTGTTGAAATGGCGTGGAGCACTCTCGCAAAACAAGCAGGTAAACTGCAAGCTTATCATTGCACAGCATTTGCTCAGGGGAATCTGATAATATCTATTCCAGCAGTACTAACCAGAAAACAAGAGCTGATCGTTTACCAGGGTGCCAAGCTAATTAGGGCCAAATATATAGTATACATATACATGCATATATCTCATATAATCTGCTGAGGGTGTATGTTGGTGTGTAAACAGTGATTGTTTGACTCAAAATCTAGCGTAACCCCTGTCCCATTAGAGCTACAGCAGTCAACTTCGGTAGGAGTAAAGACAGTAGGAAAGGAACATTTGTGGTGGGTGGCAGGAGCAGACTCAGCTCAAAGAGGGTGTTACGTTGGAGAAACGCTGAAAATCGATAGCTCCTGTCCCTTCAACCAGAGCACTTGAAATTGGGCAAATGCAGACGGCGGGTTCACTTTATCATGAGAAAGAGAAAAGCTCGGCGTCAGCCGGTCGATCCGACTGGTATATATGTATATATATATGTTGTATGTATAGATTATGTATATATACGTATATATATATATATATATATATATATATATATATATATATATATATATATATATATATACGACGCCGTCTGCAAAGCGGAGATGGCAGTGGCAAGTAACGGCTGTCGACCTTCACATAATGTCCTTAAAGGCACCGTTCAAAAAAAAGTTAGGGTAATCTTTTTTGACGGGAATTGATAGAACTACTCTAGAATAAAGCGATAACAACGAAAAAAGCGCAAAAACCGATGAACAAAAAGAAGTAGAAAGGGTCAAAAAAGAGCTGGAAAGGGGGTTGGACTAGTCTCACATTGAAGTAACGGCGGTTAAGGAGTGTTCGGGTGAGAATGCACGAAGGCGACGCAATGTCTGCAATACAGACAACACACCCAAACAGCTGATCGGATTTCTCCCTGCTATTATTATCTCCCTGAAATACTTACCTCATCCATTCGACGACGGCAGGCAGGGAATACTTAGAAGAGAATAGCGCAGAATAATAGTAGAATAATAGAAATAACAGCTGAATACTAGCGCCTGTACGAGGCGGTCGACCAGCTGACTATTCCTTGCAATTTGCCAATCAGCGTGTCGATTTTTCACCAAATTCGCTCCAGGGCGAATGTGGTGAAGGACAATTTGAACTCGTAGTCAGCCTAGCGAGGAGCGGAGGCCTGACGTCCCCCACTGTTCCTGCCCTTATTGTGCCCTATCCAGCCGTTTTCTGACCTCATTCCTGCACAAATGGTATCAGAGGGGGCTTCGAATTCAAACCGTGTGCAAATCTCCGAAACCATTTTTTCGTGAACAGTGCCTTTAAGAGCGGCGCTGAAAAATTCGGGCTGGCGAAGCCTGCTTACCTACCATCTTAGGCGAGACGGATATATCGTCCGTTCAGTACTCCATTCAGAAATTCGACATGCTATTACTTCGATGAAGATTTGTTCGGCACTTGGTTTCTACAGGATCAAACAGGAACATCTGAAGAGTCTTCCGCCAGTTATTGTCGAAACCCTGAAGCAGCTCTTCACAGGGTGCCGGTCGGAATGCAATATACCCTTTTCGTGGAAAACTAGCGAGACAGTGTTGCTGTGTAAGGAAGATTTGGACGATATCGTCTTGCGAGAGTACTGAATACCGAGAGCTCTGAATTATCAAATCTTGACAATTACGTTGTAATAGCTTTGTAAAATTTACTCTTCTGTTTATAATAGCGTCAAAGTTTCTAAAGAAAAGCTGACACAATGCAAGGTGATCCTCCTAATTCTATGCATGACACGAGATAATTGGGTAATTATGAACTACAGTGTCAGTTTGTATCTCTGGATCTTGCTCTCCAATCCTGCTTCGATGATGATCTGCGTTTCTAGTAGGACCAGTTCTACTCGTTATTAAGATATTAGCTGTCCGAAAAGTTTTGAGAAAATTTCGCCTCTCAACTTTGAAAGCATGACGCTCGTGAACGGTCAAAGAGCGACTATAGATTGGATGGCAGGGAAAGGGACATTGCTGATACGTCAATGCTATAATTGATCGGTATTCGACGTGGTTCAAAGTAAGTAATTGTCGATCGAACGATCGATATGCCATAAATAAGACTATCGGAGCTTTCCCATCACGAAATTAATCGCTCCAACACACAGGCGTGCAATGAA